GTGAATGAAACCTAATGTAACCTATTGTAATTTGATGAAATCTAATCTTTGTCTGTCTATTCTAGAATGCATAATGTATGAGATGCTAATTGTTTTGTTTTTTCTTATTTTTATTGTTGTTTCCTATGTTTGTTCTAATTGTGTGTTCACCTTAAATAGATTTCCGTTTATGGGAAACTATTATTTGTGTTTAATAATTTAATTTTTGTGTTAATTTAATAGTTGTGTTTTATGTTTATTAATTTAATTTAATTTAATAATTTATACCTGGGCTAATACCTAACTATTCTCTTGAGCATGATGTGTTAGCCTTTAATTGATTGTTACACTAGCAAATGCATAATATTGTATCTAAACCGATTTGTTGTAAAATGATGTGTAAACAGTCGTTGGCTGACCTAAATAAAATAAAATAAAAAAAAAAAATAAAATAAAAAGAGGACTAATCCGGCTTCCTTCCAACGGGTGGGTATCACGCCTGATTGAAGATAGCTGTTGAACAACTGTGTTTCGAGCACTTTGTCAGCGGTCCAACTCTCCTTCTGTTACCCCTAAGTCAAGGGACCAATCCGACGATGTTGTGGGAGTGAGGGACTGTCTCTGAGTGTAATTATCACTCTTTCCAGTAGATCCGGATCCATAGTCTCCGTGGGGAGGAACTTATGGGCGAAGTTTGCCCATGATCCCTGTTTAGCCCCTCGAGAAGTTCCTTCCAGGACCGACACTTGGCATTTGTAATGGCGTGTTGAAGCGCCATAGTTGCCTCTCTGTCCGGTCGTGTTTCTGTGTAGGCTCTAGTGATTTGCTCTTCCGTGGAGCTCGGTTGTCTTCTGCGTCGGTTGCGCTGGAACTGGCGTCGGTGCCTCAGTGTGCCTAAGTGTCTGCCGACCACCAGTGAGCTGCTCCAGGACGCTGTTAGTACTTGATTTGGGGCATAGAAGCGTCGCAAATTGACGTAATTTTGTCCCGAAACCAAGCCGCTTTTCCTTCTGGAGCGGGTGAGATCCTTTGAAAACATTCACACATTCAAACACAAGCTGGCCAGGCAGCGACGTCGGCAGCTGCGCTTGCATAAGCATTTCCCGATCGAGCTTTTGGAGGGCCCAACGTCGTGCCGGTGGGTTAGAGCTTGGACGACTTCGACTATTGGAGGAACTGGGTGCCACATCGAACACAATGTGGCGGTGGTCGGAAAGTGTGACCATCTCCTCGGCCACCCTCCAGTTCATAATTCTGGGGGCTAGAGAAGGAGACGCCCAAGTTAGGTCAACAATTGCCTCTCCCTGCTACCGGACACAGGTGGCAATAAATCCTCGATTTTTAAGTCAAGTGAAGCCGCCCTGTTCTGGACCACGTATCCCCTAGGCCTGTCCCGACTTAATCGTCAACTGGCGAGCGCGAATCTCGCGAGCGCGCGCGAGTTGGCACTTTTCGATTGTGCCTACTTTTTTTGTCGTCAACTCGCGCGTCTATATAATTTGATGTTTTAATGTATAGTCAGCTACAAAAACGTTATAACAAATTTAATTTAGTTAGGTACTTACCTACTATAAATGTATAAGAAACTTTATGAAATTTGATTTTTAAAATAAAACAAAATATACATCGTTTTGAAATCAGTTTATTATAAATCAACAGGACAAAATATAAATTATTAGTAGTATTTCCCTTACTAATTATCAACAATATCACATTGATTTGAGAATTTGGCTTATTATCTTATTATCTAGTATGTAAATTGTAAAAAACTAAGTAAATAAAATAGAAACAACGAAAACACTCCCCTCACATACTCGTATACAAAATTATATGTGAGGAGATTTTCGATAAATCTCATAATATAAATAATTTAAACCGTACTGAAAATTGGTAAGTATAAAATAGTAAAGCTAAACATAGTAATTGACAACAAACTGACTTATTATTGCTCACTAATAAAATCAATCTTAGGAACCATAGAAAGAGTCTTAGAAACTATAAAATCACAGATCAGATATGGTTGTGACTTATGTATCGAACTTTTGATCTTGTGATTTTTGATTTAATTTAGCATAGTCTGTTTATTTTAACGTTTGCTATAAAAATCATTTATAACAAACCATGATCTGTGATTTTATAGTCTGTGATTAGTTTTATTTGTAGGTCGTCAGTAATAACTTAGCCAATTGATGAATCTACTTATTGATAGTGTTTAGCGTTTTTTGTAAAAATCATTTACAACCATATCTGATCTGTGATTTTATAGTTTCTAAGACTCTTTCTATGGTTCCTAAGATTGATTTTATTAGTGAGCAATAATAAGTCAGTTTGTTGTCAATTACTATGTTTAGCTTTACTATTTTATACTTACCAATTTTCAGTACGGTTTAAATTATTTATATTATGAGATTTATCGAAAATCTCCTCACATATAATTTTGTATACGAGTATGTGAGGGGAGTGTTTTCGTTGTTTCTATTTTATTTACTTAGTTTTTTACAATTTACATACTAGATAATAAGATAATAAGCCAAATTCTCAAATCAATGTGATATTGTTGATAATTAGTAAGGGAAATACTACTAATAATTTATATTTTGTCCTGTTGATTTATAATAAACTGATTTCAAAACGATGTATATTTTGTTTTATTTTAAAAATCAAATTTCATAAAGTTTCTTATACATTTATAGTAGGTAAGTACCTAATTAAATTAAATTTGTTATAACGTTTTTGTAGCTGACTATACATTAAAACATCAAATTATATAGACGCGCGAGTTGACGACAAAAAAAGTAGGCAAAATCGAAAAGTGCCAACTCGCGCGCGCTCGCGAGATTCGCGCTCGCCAGTTGACGATTAAGTCCCTGTCCCGAGTATTACCCCATGATCTGGAGTGAGCATTAAAGTCACCTGGTACTGTACCAGACGGGAAGAGCATTTATACCGGATACAATTAGCTACCCCACCCAGGTAGCACTCGAACTCAGGAAGAGAGATGTTAGGAGACACGTAGAATCTCATCACAGCTAGTGGTTCCCCCATTCAACAGCCACAATTACCTGGCCCTCGGCCCTGGTCTAACAGGGCACAGTGAGGCCCACCACTCCCAGCAGCCCAGTAAAGTGCGATCGAGTCTACAGTATCACGGAACCAGCGAGGTTGATCCTGGAGACCATAGGTCTCTGCTACCACCGCCAATGCAATAATATATTCTGCGCACTGCGGCAGTGGTTCAGGTTGCACTGCAAGACTTTCAGGGCTGGGAATGTGACGTGTCCATTTCCTCTGGATTGCTTCCACTGTGAAGTGCGATCCGATCACATTCCTTGCGATTTCTTTTCTGACCGTTTTTTTTTGGGAGTGCCATTCTTTACCTCCGAGACGGTGATTTGACGGTCGCATACCGGGCACTTTAAGGTTGGTGAGGTACACTCACGAGCTTTATGTGCACCACCGCAGGCATAGCACTGGGAGCTCCAATCCGCAGGACTGGTACGCATGCGCCTGACGTGTCCCGCCTCGAAGCAACGGTAGCACATCATGCGTCCAACCTAACGGCATGCGCTGGTCGAACGCCTTTTTGTTCATTGGCACCAGAGGGCCACGCACCCATACATACCCCAAGGAAGATGGGGGACGTCGAATTTTGCCAACTTTAATTTCTTGCGTGGAACATCCACCCGCCCTAGCAATGATCGCGGCCACCTCCTCCGGGTTACACCATCGTTTAGATCCATGACTGTCGCCTCGGCCATTATAGTCGGACGCCCAATTTGTACCTCAAATACCCGAGGACTTATCGCATACGACTTGCAAGCTTTGAACGAAGAATCCTCACATGTGATCATGAATGCAATCCCACCATCAGCAGCACGTTTCTCACGGCATGAGTCACTCGTGATACCGAACTCCGAAAGATTCGTCTCCTTGCCTCAATAAGTACCTCTCCAAGACCTATGGTTGCTCCTTGCCGTACACGTACGGTGATCGCTACCGAAGCGGGAACTTTTGGCAGTTTCACTGACGGTTTTTTTATAATGTGGCTAGTGCAGCCGAGGCGGATGAAGAATTGGGAATCCTGGGAATTTGCTGTTCCCGGTTGTCCATCCTTAGCAGTCGAAGTGGATACTCGTGCAAGTGATGAGCGACTTCACTGGCAACAATCTGCCCTCTAAAGCGGCTAGCTTCGCGTCCATTATAGCGCCAACTTCAATGGCGATAGAACGTCGAAGTTTAGCCTCCGTATCTGGTGCCAGACCAGCGGGCACAGACAGGCCAGGAACTGACGATTTTTGCTTTGCGGGAGCAAAGCAAGAGGGATCTTGGGATAGCAGGTTAAGCTGGTGTTTTAGTCTTCTTTGAGGCTAGCGACCTGAGATCATAGATCTGAGTTTCTTTGGTCAGCCTCTCAGAAACGTCTTTATCGGATCTAGGCAGGACTTGTACTGCAGCCTGCACCGACCTAGCAGTTGTACGCTTGCGTGCCGGCGCCGTTACTGACACCGTCGACATCTGGGAAACCGACGACATTTGCGAGCAATCAGACTCACCACTGTCGCTAGCTACTCCTCCCATTGGTGTAATCGGTCGCTTAAAATGCGACCGCGTTGTCATTTCTTTCGTACCTGGACACGAACTGTTCTTGCTTGAACTAGATTAATGTTTTTTTTATTAGTAATATCCATATAATTAATTCCCACGAAGATTGGGGATAAATGGTCCACCTAGGGAGTGCCCCCTGTTCCTAGGTACATTTAGTACCCAACTAGAGGGTCCACCGGTACCATTCGATATTTCGTAGATATTCGTTATTTTTAAACGAAAATGCTTGTTATGAATCTGCAAAAGTGTATCGCAAATAATCCGGCCGCAATATTGATCTAGGATGTCTCGATCGGTACTCAAAGGTCCAACCAAGTCGTAGGTTTCCCGCTATGCCCGTTATTAGACTAGAGGTTTCCATCAATGCTGGTATACAGCTTAGGTTCATATTTCTTCCACTGCCCCGTGTGCCGCAGGTGGCGCTGGGCGCGCGCTACCTGGACAGCTCGTCGGCGGAGGCGGTGCGCGCGTGCTACGAGCGCGCGGTCGTCGACGCCGCGCACGCGCAGGCCGCCGCCGACGGACAGGCGCTCCTGGCGCAGGCGCACTCCAAGGACGAGGTCGGTGTGCTCCCTCAACTTCCGCATAACTGTACAGACAGGAGGGGTCAATCGATACTTCCCAATTCACCCCTCTGCTGTCCCTCTCACCTCACGATCCCTATTCGCCCCATTTTACGATACTCCGCCTCTAATAACACTCCGAAGTATTTTTTAATCGTTGCCCAACTACCATTTCCTCCTGTGTCGTGTGTGCGTTTACAAACATACAAATTCACATTCATATGACACCTAGACCCGAAACAACAATTTGTAGATCACCCAAAAAGCTAATTCGTGCTGGAATCGAACTCAATACACGTTGCACGGCAACCAAAATCAAATCATCTTTTGACACACGAAGCTACACAGACACAATTTGTTTAACTACCGATCACAAGCACTCGATTGAGGTCCGCACAAGTGAAGTATCGCCACCACAACACTGACTGCTCGTCTTCTCTCACTTCACCACAAAGTCGCTCTTATTCTTGTACTACTCTAACAAATATTCTCAACGCTACGTCCTGCGTCAGCGATCTAGGAGCGAGCGCGAGTAAGTGGTGACATACGAATTCAACGCGACGCGGCGACATGTCCTACGTGCACGCGAATCGTTTCGCTTCCAAACAAAACGTTTTTTTATGGGTAAGTCGGTAAACGAGCAGACGAATTTCCTGATCGTAAGCAATCGTCGTCGCCCATGGACACCTGGAATACCAAAGGCATTACAAGTGCGTTACCGGCCTTTTGAAATTGAAACTTTAATAGATTTCAACAGTTTGTTGTTATCGCGCCGCGCCGCTCCACATTCGCTTCTAGATCGCTCACGCAGGACGTAGCATTACATCCCCCACCACTATCCCTATTCCCATAATGGCATCAATACTTCTCCCCCAGTCAGCCCCGCTCTGTATGTACGCGATTTTGATCGAAGTTTTAAAATGGCTGACATCCTCCTTGTCACAGACATTTTAATGATTACTTAAACGTCTTAAACCATTCCTAAGTAACGAATTTGTTTCAAACAATGTACGGTCAACGGTCAAAAGTCCACTGCCACCGTAAGACTACTATTGGTTGCGCTGCAGCGCTTATACAGACACACACACGCATATTTGTATCCGTGTGCGTACGCGATTCTATGCACATTAATATGAAATTACTTACGCATTGTCGTGTGAACATCACTCACGTGGTGGCAGTGAACTTTTGACCTTTGACTGTACAAAGGACTGAGTTAAGTAATCATTACTACAGTCCTTGTGTAGTGGTATAATGTCACGTGTGTCGTGCACCCGCCACACGAGCCACGTAGGCACGCTCCACACTGACACAGCTCTCTGTCCGCAGCCGGCCGACTGTACGGGGAACGGATCCGAGGTGGGTCGCGTAGTGACGGCTCAGTACCAACGCATATACAAGCATACTATATTATTATTCATTTAACAAGAATTCGATCTCAATTTTAACATTTATAAATTCAAATTGTTGATTATTGTCGTTTGAAAACACAAAACAATGAAACGAAACGAAATATAATTTAAAACGAAACAAAACCTTATCTGAAAATCATTAATGTTTTATTTCTTCCGGTATTTCGATGTGTCAGTTTGAGTATGGCAACATTACACAAACTGACATTAGCTAATGTCATCAATCGTATTCAAAGTGCGAGTGTAGATAATATTGTTTGTATTCTTTTTCTTGCAATCCTTCTTGCTCTCGGCTCGAAGGCCGGTTCTAATGTCATTTACAGGCTTCCGCCATGTAAACGACATATAAATAATATTACTCGGTAGACGTTGGTGAACTATTATAATTATTATTTTATCTATATGATACGAAGCTACTGAGCCGGCACCCACCGTCATTATTCACAAACGTTACTCTTATAAAAAATATTGCAGCGGATTGTGTTCGCGACAATTTTGAAAAAAATCACGATGTTTACAACGCGCCGCGGCTTGATCTCAATAGTTGCCATAGTGTATGTAATGTATAGTATAGTATAGTGACGTTTGTGAATGCAATATTAAAATAAATGTTAGCATGCATGTTAGCACAGATATGTAGTATAATGGGACTTAAACATGTTTTCATCAACCTCTCTTAAATTTTAAGGGACCCGTAAACCTAGATAAGTGGCACTTAACGACATTATAGTTTAAGGTAAATTGCAAATAAGTGACACATAACGGTTAGTTACAGTACTCTCACGCTAAGTACTCACTCTTAGTTAAGAGATGGTTGGTGAAACGCATCATAAGGGTCCCCGAATTAGTCCGTACAGTTACAAGCTCGATGGAAATCGAGCTAAGAAACTATGCAACTAGCAAAGGTCAAGTCCCCACCATAGATGCACGGATGCACAATTGTTGATACAAAATGCTCGCTTTTAGACCCAATATATGGCACATGTAACCTTTTGACCGCCGCAGTCAGCTATAGGCGACACGTTAAAATGTACTTAAAAATCATGTTTTCTGGTCGGCTTTGGCCGACTGTGACGGATCACGCCATATTTTGTTTGTCGGCTATAGCCGACCGCGGCGTTCAAAAGGTTTAAAAACAACTATGTATGTATGTATATAAGGAAATACTTCCTTGCTTAATAGGTAATTAATTGAGGTAGTATATCCGAATTAATTATTATTTATACACATTTCATGTTAATCTGATAATATGACTTACCATTTGAATAAGGTCCTCGATTAGTTTCAAGCCCATTGTCCGCCCCCGTTATGACGTGAAACTAATCGAACATCTCCGAGAAGTTACCTAAGTCGTATTATGTATTGAGCTACTTAGGTTCAATTTTCTACTTTATTTATAAAG